CCCACTTTCCCAAGCTGGATGCCTCTGGGTCATCCTAGACCCTCACCCACCTTGGTGCTAGTCCTAGGCCCAGAGGAGCCTGATCATGGATGAATCTCAGATGAGGAAAGATGAGGGAAGGAAAGGGACAGGGAGAGGAGGGAAGGCAACCTTACGCCCATACATCTGGTCCTGAATGAGGCTCCGTCCTTGCTGACAAGATCACCCCTCCCTCTGATCCTTTCATCCAGAGGTACTTCCCACCAATTAACTAAACCACCTCCCAAAGGCCAGCTCACATTGTCTCATTCCTGTCCCCTCCAAAACCAACCCAGCGTTCTGGAAAAATACAGTTCTGTGGCCTGGCCATCGTGTGCAGAGCCACCCCAGTGAGGAGACAAAATGAACCCAGCCCTCCCCAGCCGCTGCCATCCTATCCCTGGGAGGGAACTCTCCAGAGCCTCTGAGCCCTCATGGGAAGTGAATCTTGGGCTATAATCGGTGCTTTAGCCCTGAGAACTTAGTGAAGAAGATGTCCAAGACATTGTGGGCAGGGCCCAGCCCTGGGAACCCTGGACGCCCTACGACTCCCTGGAGCAGTCAGAGAAATGCGGGAGGCCCCAGACTCAGCCCCCTTCTGGGGATCCTAGAGGAAACCTAGGGAGAGGAAGCCAGCCTGCGCGTGGCTCGACAGTCTCCGACAGACCTTCAGGGCCTGAACAAGTTGCCACGTGAAAGTTTAGTGAGGGGCGCTGGGGCTGGCCCATCTTGAATTGCCAAAGAAAAGCCAGCCCCTGCCCCGCGCCTTGAGCTCTCGGTGATGGCCTGGAAGCATCTTTGTGGTGGAGAATGAGGCCCAACAAGCCTCTGGGAAGCCCCTGAAAGCCCCAGTGGGCAGCAGCGTGGCTTCCATGCGGGCCCCGGGCCAGGGCGGGACCAGCATCAACAGGGCTGGGCTGAATGAGAGCAGAGGCCCAGGGTGACGCTTGTCATTGTTGCTGTTCAGCTGTTTCTTACGAGAAACGCCGTGTGGGATGGTGGCCAGGTTCGAGCCTGACTGTGACCTTGGGCTGCTTCCTTTCCCACAGGCTCGGTTTCTCCCCCTGAGAAAGGGGCGTGGGAAAGCCAGCCTCGCAGCGCTGTGGGAGCTGTGCGGAGCTCGGGAAGCCGTGAGTGAGGAGGAGAGCTGAGCGCAGGGACTGAGGGGGCGTGCTCCGTGCGTTCATTAATGAGTGGAGACCGGATGTTCCGGGTCAGTGAGAACAGCTCACAGACGGCGGTCAGCGAGTGACTGCGTGGTCACACCACGGGCACCGAGGGAGGAGCAGACGGCCAGATGCACAGGAAGGGGAGGAGCCCTTTGTTCGTTATTTCACTCATTCAGCAAATATGTATTGAGCACTGCTGGGGATAGAGCAATGAACCAAATTATGTGGACCCTGACTCCTTGGAACACAGACTTTAATCAGTAATCCAGAGGAAAGATGCCTTGAGAATGTGTAAGGGGGTTTTTTTGGTCCAGAGGCAGGGAAGGTCTCCCTGAGGAAGCAACTCACAAGCTAAGATTAGAGTAATCAGTAGGAGCTAACCAGGTGCATTGGAGAGAGGAGGGAAATGAGTATTCCAGACAGCAGGGATAGCCTGTGCAAAGGCCCTGAGGCAGGAGGATGTGAGGGTCTTTAAGAGGCCGAGAGATGGCATTTAAGGAGAGCAGTGCTTTTCTCTCTGATGGGGCTGGGCAGGTTGACCGTGCCTGATCCCTGGCATCTGGGTGGAGGGGGAAGCTCCGGGGGCTAGTCGGAGCTGCCCATCTGCCCCAGTATCCATCAGGTAGAGGGGGAAGGGAATGAGCATTTATTGAGCAGCAACTATGCATGTTAAGCATAGTGTACATTACCTCATTTATCCTTATAACTTTGGTAGGCAGGGATCATTCCCCCTTTTCCCCAACAGATGAAGGAATTGAGGCTCAGAGAGGCTAAGTGACCTGTCGTAGGTCACACAGCTAGAAAGTGATAGAATCAGGGCTAGAACACAAACTCCAAACCTTTTCTTTTCCCCTACATCCCCTTTCATCAGTGGCAGAAGATTGGGTCACATTTACTAGGATAAACTCATCTTGCCTGAATCCCTCAAATCTCTAGAGTCTCAGGTTCATGTGAGGTCTTGAAGGACTCTTGGTCAGAGCCTCTATCAAGCTTTTAATTACCCTACACAACATCTCCTGTTGCCTCCCCACAACCACGTGCTATTGACCCTCTGCTTCTATATGCTAAGGGATGGGGAGCTTATCACTTTCTGAGGAAGCCCGTACTCTCTTCAGATAGTTCTAACTGGGTAGAACACAGGTAGTACTTTCTCTGGGGAAACTGAGGCACAGAGAGGCTCCCAGATCTAGGAAGAGCTGAGATTGTCAATTTCTTTGTTGGCTTCTTAGAAGCTAGTTCATGCCTATGCGTGTGTGTGTGTGTGTGTGTGTGTGTGTTTGTTTTCTAAGCATTTGAGAATCACATTAAAATGTGTCTTTTATTTGAAAGAGCACTTTAGAATTCAGGTCCCTGAAAGGGAAGATGTGAGCTCTCAGTGAACAGCCACTGGGCAGGCAGCAAGAGTCCGTTGAGCAAGACCACCCCTTGTCAACACGGGTAAATGCAAACACACTTTGGACCCTCAGGGATGTTTCGCTCCGAGGACCATGGCCAAAGCACAGCTCCTCACTTCAGTGAGCAAAGTGGGAGCTCTGAGAATGCAGGAGCAAACAGAAATAGGACACTTGTAAACAGAGTCTCCATTTGAGAGACCATTAATTACAGGTTTTTAGTTGTGGTGTAAACCCAGGCTGGGAGAGGCCTACAACATGTTGTCTCGCTCTCTCCCCCTTCTGGATGGGCTGGGCTGAAGATCTGGAATCAGGCAAAGTCAGCATGAAATGTCCAAGAGTCGAGTTAGAGCCCCCACAGAGTGAGGCAGCCCCACGTGAATCGGGCAGGTGGGCAGGAGCACGCGCTGGGCAGGTCTGACCTGGCCCAACAGCTGTGGAGAGAGCCATCTCCCCTGCAGACTTAAGTTCATTTGGCTGCTTAAATGACATCACTCCCACTCTTGACGTCACTGCTGAAAAAAATGCAGCCAGCAGTGCTTCTCCGTTGTGTGGGTTGGAAGAAGTCTGTTTTTACAAAATCAGTGTCTAAGGACTTTGGTGATGAGAATGTTTGAGGCTTGAGGCATAGGGTCAAGTGTTATCAACATGGAAGAGATAGTTGGGGCAGGAGAGTGGTTGGGATGACTCAGGTATGAAAGGTAGAGAGACAGAAGTGCACAGGTTAGAACCTCCCAGGAACACCTGCATTTATCAATGCTTCCTCATCACCATCATCCCCACCACCATCATCACCATCATCCCCATCACCACTATCATCACCATCATCATCATCATCATCATCATCATCCCCACTAACATCATCATCATCCCCACTAACATCATCATCGTGGTCATCATCATCCCCATACTGTCATCATCATCCCCAGTACCACATCATCACCCCCACTACCACAGCATCATCCCCATACCATTGTCATCATCCCCGTACCATCATCATTATCGTCCCCATACCATCATCATCATCATCCCCATACCATCATCATTTCCACTAACATCATCATTGTGGTCATCATCATCCCCATACTGTCATCATCACCCCCACTACCACATCATCATCCCCGTACCATCATCATCATCCCCGTACTGTCATCATCATCCCTACTAACATCATCATCATCATCACCATACTGTCATCATCACCCCCACTACCACATCATCATCCCCATACCATCATCATCATCCCTGTACCATCATCATCATCCCTACTAACATCATCATCATCATCACTGTCATCATCAGCACCACCATCATCACTGCCACCACCATCCTCATCATCATCACTTGACTGTAACTTTTGGTGCCCTGGAGGGGGAACCTTTGGTTCTCCAGGGAGCCAGCAGATAATATTTTACAATAAGAGTACTACTAATAAAGAGCTGATTTACTTTTCAATTGGTGTATAAATAAACTTTGCTTTGAGTCCACAACAACTCGGCAAATGAGGGTAGGTGTTTTATGACCATTTTGCAGAGAAGGAAACACATACTCAGAGAGGTCATTGACTTTCCCAAGGTCACATGGCTAGAGTGTGGCAGAATCTGCGTTGGAACCTGGTCAGCCAGGTTCCTAAGAGCTGGGCCCTGCCCTGCGCCATTCTGCATCTTGCCTGCGGGGGCCTCAGGCGAGGGGCCAGCTCTCAGCCCTGCACTCTCATGAAGCCACAACCAGCCAGTCCCTCTAGAATTTGGAAAACGTCCTTTGGCCACTTTCATGGACATTGTAGCAGAGAAGTCCATTAGGCGTTTGGACTTGTGAGACGGACTTTCAGGTGATATTGATGGTGTTGATGATGAAGAAGGAGGAGGAGGAGGAGAAAATGATGGAGAACATGATGAACGGGGTGGTGGTGGTGGTGATGGAGATGAAGATGATGGTGGTGGTGGTGAGGACCATGATTTAGATGGTGATGATATTAATGATGCATAATCATATTAGCAGCAGCTTTGAGTACCTACTATGTGCCAGGCTCTGTCTCACTTAATCCTCACCACCACTCTGGCAGGGAGGTACCCCTATTAACCCCTATCGATAGATGAGAGATTTGACGTTTAGAGAAGTTGAGTGACCTTCTCAAGATTCACACCCAGGACTCTTATACACCAGGCAGATTTCTGTCATCACTGGCAGAACCTGTAACTTTATATTTTTTCTTCCTCTCATGCCTTGAATGGTTTGAGGAAACTACAGAGATCTTTGTTTCTGGCGAAACTCACATTAGCCCCACTTCACAGATGGGAAAACTGAGACCTGGACGGTCAGAAAGTCGGCCCCGAGCTGCTGCTGTTTCTGGGGTCCTCTCACCCTCCCCTCCCTCTGGGAGCCCCTGAGCCCACTCACAGCTCCTGCTCTGGTCCCGCAGAGCCGGCGGTGGCGAGGACTCGGCCCCCTCTCCCGGAAGGTGTGCTGCGTGGCGCTCCCCCTGCAGCTGCTGCTGCTGCTCTCCCTGCTGCTGCTCTTTCTGCTGCCCGTCGGGGACGAGAACCGCAGCTGCTCCCTGGCCAACAACTTGGCCCGCTCCTTCACACTCATGCTCCGCCACGACGGCCCCCCGCCCACCTAGCCCGCCGGGGGCACCCAGGTGACTTTCTTCTCCAACCTTCCCTCGGCCCCAGGGCTCCTCCGGAGGGCACCGGGGAAACTGGAAGCAGGGACGGGCCAGCGCTGCGGCAGTGGACATGCTGTACCAGTGTTCCCAGCACAAACCTCCTTTTTATACAGTGTTGTCTTCGTCTATTTATACTAAATGCCTACTATGTCTGACCAGGGAATAATGTATAGAATCTTTATATGCTCTGTATGTAAACGCTCAGTGTCTCTAGTGTCATATATGACCTCTATTTCTAGTTGGGAAAATTCCCAGCAGTTCGCTTGTCCAATGGGATTTTGTGGCATTTTGGCCTTGGTCTGCCGTCAGCCCTGGAAAGCAGGAACAATAACATATCGCTTTTATGCAACCTCTTATCCAGAAGCCAACCCCCAAACCCGGATATTAGTAAAAGGTCTCTGAGCTGTCAACATAGACAGCAACGCAGGCCCTCGCTCAGAGCCCAGTGACTCTTGCTTTGGGCACAGTGAGAACACACACGTTTGTCTGGTTTTTAAAACGACAGCAGATTAGATGCTTGGGTTAGGAGCAGAGACGGTGATGATCAAAGGCAGCCCAGTGACAGCAGTGAACAGTGACAACTGACAGAGTGATATGGAGGGAGGAAAAGAAGAACTGCAAAGAGCAGACCTGGAAAGAACTAGAAAAGCACAGCAGAGTGGGGGTGTCGTGTGCAGGATCCCCTGGTAGCACAGACCCATGATGAATGTCTGCGGTCCCGCCACCTCATCTTCAGAAACGGTGAGATCGTGTTCTGTGAGTTCTGTTCAGGGAGAAGGGGCGGGAGGGAGACCGGATTGTTAAGATCTCCCTGCAGAACGGTGAACACGCCTGTGTGCAGCACCCACCTGCCAGCACCGGGGAGATGTGTGACCTCTGTCGTCCTGAGCTGAGGTTTTCGTCGTCTGTAACTCGAGCTGAAGGAGCAGTGGAGCATCTGCCGCATCAGGGACCAGCGATCGAGGGTCCAAGACAGAGATGAGCGATCAGCCTTGGTGCTCTGCCTGTCTGAAGGGCTCTCCCTCCTCCCAGAACGGACTTTGGAGAGAGGCAGGTCCTCTGGCCAAGAATGTCCCACGTGCGCCCCTACAAGGGAGCCAGGGTCCAGGCGCCCAAAACCAGGTCCTCTCCGGCCAGGTCTAGGCACCTGGGCTCCAGGCACCACCTGGGAAGGGGTCAGGCTGACTTCCTCCCCGGGGAGTTCTGGAGTGGTTCCTGAGTGCTTTATAACTGGATCCTGTTTTCCCTAAATCAACACTAAGTTTTCCTTTTTTAAAAAATGCTTAGAGGCCCCTCTTTACAAATTGATTTTCTCCGTTGAGCTACAAATAGGAGACCAAGAGGGGGTCCTCAGGGTTTTGGAATCATAAAGTGTTACAGACCCAGAAAGGCCCTTTAAACAGAGGGGACACTGAGACTCAGAGCACCGTGGCCCTCCCCCCGCCCTCTCGCACACCCCTCCTTTCCAGCCTCAGGCCCAGCCTCAGTGAAGCTCTCACCGCGGGCCCAGGCCTCCCTGCAACTAGGAGGAGCTGGGCATTCGCTGGGCAGGAAAACAGTGTTGCCCAGGAAAGCTCTAGGCGCTGACTCAGAAAGCACACTTTTCTCCAGACATTTAGGAACTCTAAGTCACAAGGCCGTTCTCCACAGGTGACCACTTTCCTGGAAAGTCAGGGGCTGCATGAACCAAGACCTCAGGCCCAGGCAGCCAGGCCCTGATGTTCACTGGGTAGTGTTGGTCCAGCCCTAGAAGGTCAGAGCTGTGACAGGGGCCTTTGAACATCTCCATTCCCACACTCCCACGTCACAGATGAGAAGGCTGAGGCCCAGAGAGGGGAAGTAGCTTACCCACGGCCGCACAGCGAGCAGCAGCAAGGCCTGAGCCAACTTGGTCACCACTGCCCCCAGGCGGAGCCCTGCTCCCTACAGCACGATCCCCCCATTTCAGTAACTTCAAATTAAAGAGAAAAAGCCCTTCAAGGTGAAAGGCATTGTGTCACATGTCCTACATGGTGGGGAGGGAGAAGCCGCAGTATGTGGGCTGGCGGGTGGGAACGTCTCTCTATGTTTTAAACTTTGGTAATGATGTCATAGACTCTGCTTGTTTGCATAACGGTTTTGTTTTTTTTTTAAAAAGAACTGATATTTTCATTACTTTCATATAAATACAGTTGTAATACGATATAACAACCCATGTACTGGTGCTTTTCAAGTGTAATCTCTCTTGCATAAAGTGGGTGCAGACAATTATGATTTTTATGACTTTCTAGCTTCCTGAGTACCAACCACAAAGAGCTTTAAAGTGCCACTTGAGCAAGGCGTCGCGGTGGGACCAGCATGTGTTTGTTTTTCCTCTGTCCCCAGAGTGAGAGGGGTGGTAAGAAATGTGAATATCACTGTGAGCCCAGCTCCGTGTGTGTGTGTGTATCTGGCTGGCTGTCTGTCTGTCTAGGTGAGAGAGAGAGGGAGAGAAAGAAGAAGGGGAGGAAGGAGGTGGAGAGAGAAACACAAGTGAGCACATCGAGGCTGCTGGGTACCCTCCCCAGCTGTCTCCCTCTCCCCGCCCTTTTTTCTTAGTCTGATCTCTGAGTGCAGAAAGGCACGTGCCGGACCCAGAGGGTGTTTATAACGGAAAGATGGCGGTGGTGGGATGGGCGGGTGTGGACAGCGGAGGAGGCCAGGGGACTCCCGAAGGTGCCCGGCAGCAGGGGTGGAGGGGTGATGGTACCAGAAACAGTGCCTTCCATTTGGTGCTTGCGGGTACCTGGCCCCTTGGGGGGTGCTCCACAAGCCATATTTTATTTGATTCCCACAACTCTCAGAGTTTGTATTAACTTTACCTCCATTTCTAACATGAGAAAGCCCAGGCTTAAAGATATAAAGACACTTGTCCATGCAGAAGTGGGATTTGAACCCAGGTTTGTCTGGCCCATGCTGGAGGAGAGGGCTTCCAGCTGGTTCTGCAGGGTGCAGCCTCTGTGGCCTCTGGGATGGGTTTCAGTGAGCCAGCAGCTCTGCCCTCTGCTCTGCGAGGTGGGGCCGGGCTGAGGCTCCATGTCAACTTCCCTGCGGGGCTGGCTCTCAGCTCTGTAAGAGTCACCACCAGTAGCTCAGTCACGAGGGTCGTCTGCGATCCTCTTCACCCCAGTCACTTCACATGCTCAGGGGAGCGGGACTCTCTGCCCAGCTGGGAGCTGAGCGCCTCTCTGTCCTCCTGTGAGGTCCCGGGGCGTGGCTGATGTCACTGGAACCCACTGCCCAGCACAGGGTAGGAACTTCAGCTGTGGTTTGTAGAATGGCATGAAAACCCTCAGAGGTGAGTGTATTTGCTGACACCCAGCTCCCCTCCCGGGTACAGAGGAAATGGTCCTGGGTGATGGGACCCACTTCCATCTCTCACAACCTCTTTGCCTCAGGCAGTTGGGGGGAGTTCCCAGCAAGGACCAGGGGGTCTAAGGATGCTTGTCCCTGGGCAGCTTCAGGGGAAGGAAGCTGGGGACACTTTGCAGCCCAGGGGCCAAGGAGAATGACAAGCAGAGGGCAGACGGTCAGAACATTAGGAGGGGATCTGATCTCCTCCCGTGAGACTAGAGCCGGGGCCAGACCTGGAGGCTGGGAGGCCTTGCGGAGGCTGTGGAGACATGCACTCAGAGCTGATCTGCCCAGAGAGCGGACAGAGGGAGTGCAGACAAACGAGGATCCAAGGCCAGAGACGACATCAGACTTGATGCCACTGAACCGTACCCTTAAAAATGGTTAAGGGGCCAGTCTGGTAGTGTAGTGGTTAAGTTCACACGCTCTGCTCCGGCAGCCTAGGGTTTGTGGGTTCAGATCCAGAGCGCGGGCCTCCGCACCACTCATCCTGCCATGCTGTGGCGGTGTCCCATATAAAGTGGAGGAAGATGGGCACAGATGTTAGCCGAGGGCCAATCTTCCTCAGCAAAAAGAGGAGTATTGGCAACAGATGTTAGCTCAGGGCTAATCTTCCTCACCAAAAAAAAAAAAAATGGTTAAGATGGTAAATTTTATGTTATGTGTATTTTACCACAATGAGAGAGAGAATGTCAGGCTGCACCTTCACAGTTCCAATCTTGCATCTGAGGACCAGGCCCAGTGGCAGAGCTTTTCACTGTCTTTGGAAAAAGAGTGAAGACAAACACTAAAGGTTTTCTTTCCACAGGATTTTCTCTCATCTAAGCAACAGCTCTGTATTCTGAGTCTCCACCCTTCCTATTAATCGGCTGTTCCGTGGCCTTTAGGACACGAGAGTGGGGAGGGGACAGCGGTATCTTCCTTTGTGGTTTATGTTTTGTGTTCAGAGTCCTCAGTGGACAAAATTAAAAGCTGCCGACTCTTTGTTGGTTTTCCCCAAATGCACTGTTCTTTCTGGAAGCACATGAAATCCCAGAGTTTGGGATCCCCTGCTCGAGAAGTCGGGAGGAGAGAGCAGCTGCAGCTGGAGAAATGCTTTGTGCAGGACCCTCAGAGGGAGAGAGGGAAAGAGAAATGGGAAGAGGGACGTGGTGGGAGCGCAGTTTATGGCAGCGGGGCGGGGGAGAGGCCAGGCGCCTGCCAGCTGGGCCTTTAAAGAAAGAAACAGACCGCCCGTTAGCCTAGCTTTCCTGCTGGCCAACTATGTGCCCGTGGTGTCTGTGGCCTTCTCTCCCCTGGTGAGTGGGCAGGAGTGCCCTCTGCCTCTTTTCTTTTGAATCCAATGCAATAAGCATTCTTAAGTCCCTTCTCCATGCCAGGCTTTGTGCTGGAGGATTCGGATGAATTAAGTCCAGTCCCTGCACTCAAGTTGCTCGCAGACCAGGGGAAGGGTTTGTGCCATAGAAGATGCCGAACCAAACTGAGTCCTTGCCGTTGACCTTACCCACCGTCACAGAGGCTGGAAGGGAGAGCAGCCCCTCCCACTCTGTCCTGGCTGTGTCTGCCCAGGTCTCAGCTTTTTAACACCTTCCATTTGGATTCGGCCCAGGAAATTCATATTTGCTTTAATTTCTTCTGGGACCTGAGTTACTCCCGGGTGCAAATCCTGGAAAGAGAGGCTCTCTGAGTTTTTCCAGGCCAGCCCCTCATTTTCTAGCAGACCACTGAGGCTTCGAAAGGGAAAGAGCATGGACATGTCCACAGGTGTCTCCCATCATCCAGCTGACAGAGCCTACAGGCACATCCAGCAGAGGGCCAGATTCAGAGGACTTAAAGCAGCCATCATTTCTCCCTTGGTTTCAATTACAAGAGAAATGCCTTCTCTCTGTCAAAGTAAGACGAAGGGGGAATTGGTTTTTAAAAGGAAATCAAAAAACAAAAGCTCATGATCTAAAAACAGATCTTACCGCCTTAAAGAACAGTCAGCCAATTCAGCATCCCCTAGTGCCTGCCTTTCGGTTGTCATGGTAACGTCACAGCTGCTCACAGGTTGGTACCCAAACACCTTGTCCAGACAGGGGACAGTAATCATACATAGGGACCTCAGTTTCCCCAAAGTGTCCTGGGCTTCCTTTAAGGAATGCTTACGTCTGAGCTCAGCAACCAGGACACAGGCCCTCAGCCCCTCTCCCTGTTCCGATGAAAAACGGAGGGAGGGAACATAAATTGCGGGCCTG